TTTAGTCATGTTGTACATTTTTTGCAATTTGTGTCGATGTTCTTCTTTGAAGCCACTTCATGGTGTCCTTCTTTATAAGCCTCTTCCACCTCACCACAACCTTATCTGCACGTAGCTCTTTGCCTTGTGGGCATATTCCGCTATAGAGGGAAACACTTCTTTATTAAGGCTCTGCTACAGAAGCCATGAGATTTTGGTCCTGTTTAATTCCTGCTTTCTCCTGAAGTGCCATTAACATTACTTCTGGTGTTTGACCAACTAAGGACACAGCAACTGAACTGTGTAGGTGGTGCAGATACATTATTAAGGAGTTTGACAACAGGGCTGATGGGGAGGAGGCTCTGCCAGGTCTGATGCTGGTTAAGCCTGCTTCCTCCATAGGCTTATTTGTCTGCCTCTACATTATCATCTAAGACTGCAAACTCAGTGTGACTACAGTCTCACAAACTTTTGTAGCTTTTTTTTTTTTTTACAATGCAATAAAAATATTGTAAGACACATTACTACTTGGGGGGCACAGCAGTGTGGTGGTTAGCACTGTCGTCTCACAGCAAGAAGGTACGTACTGGATTTTGTTTGCAACCATTCTGTCAACAGTTTGTCCTTAGTTCTTTTGACAATGTGGGAGACATCAGAAGTGGCATAAACTTCCAATATTCCAGATAATGCTAAGAATCACAAACTAATGGCTTATAGGAATGTTCTTCTCTCACTCTTACAATCCTGGTCCAGTCTGCCCCATGTTTTCCTTGTCATTTAAGACCCGGACCCTTGTCTTTGTTCTGTTTTCGTGCTACTTGCTACACCCCTGCTTCTTATCTGTGCAATCACCCAGTCAGTATTTAAGTTGGCAGCCAGCACCTTGCATTGTCTGACTGTCAACAAAGAAACTTCTCTAGTCACTCTCCAGTATTCATCTTGTATTCCTGTTTTGTTTTTGACCAGTTTGAACTGTTGGTTTCACTCGTGTATGAACAATAGTGATATTATGTACTATACGAAGTTCTTACATGACTGCGGCTCAAGTACTTAGGGCAGTTTCTGCTGACGCTTTGTATCGAGGCTTGTGTCCGTTTCTGAGAACCACAGGACTGATGACAAGTGAGGCCTCGGTTTGTTGCTGAATGAAGTGATTGTTTCAGTTTCAGATTTGATTTGTTCATATAAGGACAGTGACTCTTTTGTGGGTGTAGTTGGTTCAATGGTTTGCAGATAGTTCAGAGAGTTTGCCAGTGTGCCATGTTAAGTACTGGGGAGCTTTTTTTAGTTTTTAGTTTAGTTTAGTTTAGTTTTTAGTTTTTTTTTTTAGTTTTGTTTTTTGAGTGATTGTTTGCTTTGTGTATGACTCAACTTCTTAACAGTGAATCATACACAAAGCCTGAGAAGAAATCGTCCCTGTTTGGAAACATTTTGAATTAATATCTACCAATAAGGTAAAAGGTCTATGAATAAAACACTTTTTGGAGGAGAACTGCAGACTTTGTGAACATTCTTGGCATTATAAACAACTCCTTTTACATACAGAGACATTGGCTCTATTGCTGGTATGAACTATTTACTGTCTGGTGCAGCTTTAATACTTAAAGTATTTGTTTATGTAAAATGTCAGCTACATATGATAAAAGTAATGTAGTTGATTAACTCATCATAAGCTTGTTTGTTTAAAATGTAATGATTGTGAGATGTCCTCTGACATTTTATCAAGATAAAACACTAAATGGTTTTTGCTTTTTTTTTGCCACAAGGCTAAGGTTGTATAACAACAATATGTTAACATTAAAGTAACTCAATTCAGTTCAAAAATGCTGAGATTTTCACAATAGCCTCATTTTATTCTGTCTACTGGATAAGTGATTCATTACATTTATACATTCCATTATTTTCCATAATGACGGTTGCTGTAGTGAGCTTTGTGCCATGTTCCCTCACTGAATTTGTCCTTCTCTGATTGAATTAAGCCATGGTTGTGCCTCTAACGTTTTACCAGCTCTGTGATATGCTTTAATGGTTTTATTCACGCAAGCATGTCCGGGTCATAATAACTGAGATTAATATGAAAGCAAATGTAGGCCATTTCACTTCAGCCTGGTTCAAATCAATACAAATTAAAATAATAGCTCAAGCAGAAACATTTGAGAATTGACGTCAGGTCCCAGTACCTATACACACACAGACAAATTAATAATCATATGTTGCCAGTGATTAGCTGATAAACCAGCAAACATGCACTGTTGATGTAAAGCGGCAAACAGAGCAGCTTCCTTCTCTAACAAGATGATTCCTGACACTGATAAGTGAGCGGACAAGTGGACAGAGCTGCTTAATGCTGGGGTAGTGGGTGGCTAGAAAGTCCCTTCTTTGGTATGGAAATGGAGCAAATATGATAAAATATCTGACTTTCACAGAATGCCAGGGGCTGTTTGGACATCTGCTGTGTGCTGTGCAGCTATCTGGACTCTCTGAAACACATGGGAAATCAACATGCACACATTATTTCTGTGGTCAACCCACACAGTCATGTATTTAAAGGAGAAATTTACCCAGAAGAGCAGCGCGGCACGTATGGTGCATCCATTTTGTTATTATTTCCATGGATGACTGTCCAATTATAGCCAGTGAGATGTTATTTTGAGGCATCATGTTGTCTTCAGCATGGACTGTATATTTCAGATGTCAGCCCCTTTAAATTTAGAGAGAGATGTTTTCCTCCTGTGCTGATGTTTGACCGTCATACAGGCAGGAATCCATCACTCAAGAGACAGAGAGTCCAGCTTCTCTGCTGACAGGAGCCTTAATATACCACAGTGCAATGCAGCAGCCACAAGTGCAGTGAGGGGGGGGTGAACATATTGCGTTCACCTCCCTCACTGTGTTTCCAGCTCTTGTTCAATCCACCTACACAAATAACCCAGAGCTGATCAGAAATTCAATGGAGCCATATGTGCACTTTGGGCTGAGATCACTGGGCTGAGTTGGTGTGTGCTGATGTATTTTCTGGTGCTGTGTAAATTGCATTAGAGATTAGAGAGAAAATGTTTATCCTACGGAAAAATATAGAAGGCGGGTTTAGCAATAAGTCAAAAGTAATTCTTAATTTTAAAAAGGAAGAAAATTTCCCATTATCCATGAGTAGAACATGTTATAATAAATATTTTCATGGATATGGGTGAACTATAAGAATAAGATTCCACAGCCATGCTATCATTTTTCTGAGGCTTTATGAAACTAAATACCAAAGCTTTTAATTCATTATTGAGTTACGGTCAGAAATGCTGCTATATGGTGGCTTGTGTATGTGTTCATTCTTTACAGGTAGGTGGATGACCTGTGCTCTCAAGTCCTTAAAACTCTGCCTACCTGTGGTTTAGTGTGTTTGTCTCCACTCCCACTTTGTCTGTTTTGTTTGTCTTTATCTTCTAGTTTTGTTTTGCACCTACAACATGCACCTCATGCATTTGTTGCACTGCTGAGACTGGACTAAACACCACATTTTTGCCTTTTTTTAAGTTTATTTTAACAAATATTCCCTAAATTTTTTACTCCAGTAGTGAATCTCCCTCACTTTAGTTGTGGCCTTTGAGCCAGTCATAAGAAGAAAAAGCATCGAATCTGCATTACTGGTGTCATGTCTTTGACACCGCAATACATGCATTTAATCCATTTTGTCTTAATGTGCCAAATGTCAACTTTTCAGCCCAAAGATTTTAAATAAGGACTGGGAAACAACCAGTTTAGGTGGGACACATTTATATTACATAACACCGATGCATTCATTTGTCAATATCTGTGGTTTAGGATGACAAAACTAAATCTTATATACAGTATGTAAAATATACTACTACACAGCAGAATAGTCATTAATGCCCTAGTTGTGTCTTGGGTTTAATTTTCTTTTTTTTTTTTTTTGGTCAGTTCCACTTTGTCCCAGGGCTTTTGCAAAATAGCAAACCTCATAAACAAATGGAGTGAAATGATTGTCTGGAGTTGGTGTCTACACAGGTGTTTTTGTTTTTCTCTAGTTCTCCAGTCATTTTGTTTTCTGGATACTTCAGTTCATTCATTTGTAAAGGACAAGACAGAAGAATATTCTTTTCCTTTTAGCAAAAACACAAGAAAATGATGAAGGAATTGATTGCTTTTTGTGTGCAGGGCTTTAATTATTCTGTCCTTCTGCAGATAAAGTAAAGTGAAATGACTCCCTCTGGTGTTCAGCTTCAAAACTACACTGCAAAAATGTCACTGTAGTGGGTAGGGTCTGATGTGAACTAAATTCATTCAGGCAAATTATTTCAATTCAAATTATTTCATATCACAAGAATACTGAACAATTCAATAAGTTTATGAGATACTCCAGCAATCTGGTAGAAAGGGAACAGCGGAACAAAATCACCCCTAATGCAATAAATAATGAATAAATAGAAGAAAGTCACTTTCGGCTTTTCACGTTTAGTGCTCGCCACAGCGAATCGTCACACTGACGACTTGCATGTTGACATTTGGCACGTGTTTTACGCTGGATGCCCTTCCTGACGCAACCCTGATTCGAACAGTATTAAATAAGAAGAGTGCCACAGAGTCAGTCAGCCATGGTTGGTCACGTCTGTCAGAGTCCAGAGTCCGGAGTCGGTCCCCCCTCCTTCCTTCAAACCTTTAACATCTGGAATACAGCATTCATCCTGTTATTACACCAAGCTTCAATGACTGAATGTAACACCTTATCTTATCTGTCTTGGTTTCAGCTGACACAGACCTCTGCAGCAAGGTGTTTATCAAAACCTAAAACTACAGCAGTTTTAGCTTCTCTCCGTATTGGCTTCATTTTTAAATTTCACATACAAGTCTTTATCTTGCATCCTAAATCTAAAGGAGTTGTGCCATCTGATTCAGAGAGCAGGGACTTTATGCTGTTCTGTTAGTCAAAGCTGAAAACTAAAACTTATTTGGCTTTTGACGTTACATCTTGACTAAGGAGCAGCCTTGCACAATCTTAGAAAAGCCATATCAAAACTTCTTAAACCCATTTATTTTTCTCTTGATGTCTGTACTACAGTGGCCCTGAGGTGCAAAACAACTACCTTTCACAAAATACAACAGCACCAAACAATCCTTGCTTATCAAATGTAAACACAAATATTATTCAGAGGATGTAGAGCACCAGCTTCACTGGTAAAATAGTTAACCACCAGCGCTTGTAAAATCATTCTTCGGTACAAGAATACACATTCTGGAAACAGAGACTGCAAGATTCTGCCCACAGAAATGTGCATACACTCATCAATCAATAAATAAACATATGAATATCACTGCAGTAAAATGATGTAGCAAAGCTGAGATGCAGAATTCTGATAATGAAGTAGCAGATGAAATGTTAGTGAAAATACTGTATCTGAAACAACGCAACAGAAAATGTTGGTTTTAAACCCAGGGAAATGTGATTTATGAGATGAAAATCTAGTTTTAGAGCTTTTATCATTTTTTTTGTGTGTGTTAGGAAATAGAAAAGTGAGACAGTATCTTATGTTGCTGTAAGAACATGATGATACAGTATATATACTGGTCAATTGGCTTCCAATTTAAACTCTAAACAAACTACTGTCTTCTGATGGCAAACCGAAGAAGCCATGGCAAACTAACCACCAGAGCAGAAAGGGTAACAGTCACGGGGTTTAACTTGCAAAGCCGATACCCATCCTGGTCCTTTCAAATATTATATACCTGAACTAGACCAACATGCTCATAACCCACTATACACCTTAAACTGTCAAACTGGTCACCACTGGATGAATCCCAATTCCTTCCCATGTAAGACAAAAGGAAAAAAATGCAAGGAGAGAGGAATCCAGAAACATTTTGAGAGACATGAGACATCTTTTTCCACTGATGCGTCCAGTCACCACCTGATTATCGATGACTCCTTCTGTGAAGGATGCTCTCTTGTATCCGGGCTCACGGCTCCTCCAGGTAGCCTCCTTAATCCAGAAGTCATTCCAGTCTGAGTAAGGATTGAGGAATAATCAGATATGGGAATTGGGACTTACCCACTGTGTACTCAACAGTCAGCAGAGCCAGAACCAAAGTCGTTTTGCATATGGACGGTAGGGACATGTCCCTACCAATATTTGAGCAAACCAGTGAGCATTATCTTTGGAATGAAGTCATATTAGATCATTCCAATGTGGCTGACCTAATATAATCGAGGCAGTGATCTAAAGCTCACATTATGTGCAAATGTCATATTTGCTCCCAGACACGGAGGAGGCGACTGCTGTCGGTCAGTGTGCTCACAACGGTATGTTATAGTGGCTGACTTCAGTAAAGTTGGAGAGATATTCACAGATTCTAGATTTCTAATCATTAACTCGTATGCAAAAGTTGCTAAAATACAAATAGCACCTCTTTTGTTTTGTAGTAATGTAGACAACAAGCTGCAAGCTCATTTTATTTATTTATTTTGCCCCGACCAATGTTGAGACCAAACCTATGCCCTTGGTCAGCACCACCAGTCTGAACAAGCTTCACTTTGCCAGGTGGCAACTAACATAGCAGGTTACTGATCAGGAGCATTTCTGGACCTTTTATCCAAGAATACAAATGTCAAGGTGTATACTGTATGTAAGCTACAGTCAAAGGGCTTTCTCTTAAACTTCATTTATATAGAATTTCTATCAAAGGGAAGATGTAGTAGACTATAGTTACTTTAAAATGTTTAAAAATGGACCTCCAGTCACCTAGTGGTTAAACATATCATACCAACTGCAACATTTCTTGGTGGGGTACTCTGTCATACCCCTCTCTCCCCCTCTGTGTATTTCCTATCTGTCTGAATTACCACCCAGGTTACCAGACAAAGCTGTGAACATCAATCAATAAGTCTCAACTGATTAAAAACGGTTTTTATATATCGGAACACTTCTAAATCAGTACTTTCAACCTTAATAGGTAAGGCAGCTAATTCGGTGTAATGTAATGTGGGACTGCAAGAGATATTTAAAAAGCTGGTCAAAATCAAAACACTGTCAGCCAAAATATCCTTAGTCCCTAATATTGGTGTAGATCCAATAATGATCCTTCATTTCCCATAATGCACCTCGCCAACACCTGGTAACTTCCCATGTCTTTCCAATTCCACATCTGAAGGTTATTTATTTCTTTTCACAGCACCACACATTGCAAAGCACTGAACTGAGGAATGCAATATTCACAGTCTTGTGTGTGTGTGTGTGTATGAAGTTCACAAAGTAACCTAAACACCTGTGAGACTCCTTTATGAGGTCCAGCGCCACCAGGCCACTTTCATACGGTCCCAGACAGCTTCTAAAGAGTCAAAGGCAGGGCGTACGTCCAGGATGGAGAACTGGTAGTTGTCTTTGTTGAGTTCACCGTCGTAGTAGTCGATTACATAGCGCACCTCCTTCCCACAGCGGTCAACGATCCAGTCGTGGCGGTCAAAAGGCAGCTCATAGCTGGGGCCAAGGACAGAGGCATTACAGAAATAAATTAATTTTTTTTTTTAAAGCAAAACAAACTGATATGTAGACATTGGATGTTATGCCATTTTCAAACTTGTAGTCTTCAGCCCCAACAAACACTGAACATTCATCAGAATGCACACAGCTCCTCACCAGGGAACACAAAGGGCTCTATGCTAATATATGATATTTAGGAAACACACTCTTGTTTGATGCAGGGGGTTCTAATATTTCACTTACATTGAACAATTGCACTAGTCACAGTCTCCACATTAACTGGTGATGGACATGATGGGGTTGAAGTTTTTCTTTCTCATACTTTCAAACCATCAGGAAGCATAACACATACTGTAGATACTGAAAATATGATGTTGAGTTGTGGACTGAAATTCAGGCAGATAAAGTGTGAACTCACCCCATCCAGTGGCGGATGCGAGCCCGGGGTGAGTACTCTTTGGCTTTCCCACCAAACCTCTTCAAGTTCGGCCCACATGGACAGTCACTGGAGGAAAAACGTGACATATAACATATAATAAAATACTCATCTAATAATGTTAAAGTACATAAAGCTAAGCTGGTGTTTCATGCTGATTTGTGTGTTTCTGTTCATTCAGGACTTACCGTGCATGCAGAGCCTCCCATTTCAGGATCTCCTGCCAGGCCTGCTCATTGTTCTGATTGTGAATTTTAATTATGTTGGTCATGTCCACAGCAGCAAGGTCATCATCACGCCAGCGCCACCTGCAGCCCAGGACCACACATGAACAGGACAGACTGTTAAACCAAGTCAAGAACCCCAAACCACCAATATAGGGTTTCTGTGTTACTTCAAAGGTCTGTCTCCTTCCATTTAAATACTATAAATGCAGCACTGTAATCATTAAAGCTAATGCTACATGTAGGCTAAGCAAGCTGGCCACTGAGTACTTCTGTAATGTTCTAAATGTGTGCATCAGTCAGTCCTTTGCACACGTCTTAATGGAGATTTTATTCATTTATTTTATATTTGTGAATAGGCAGGTTGGAGTCTCATCTAATAACTGGAAATCATTAAGGGTATATTGTCTTATTAACCATGTGCCAGTGGTTTCAATCCTACATCAGATTTATGGCTAATGATCTGACATTTATTGTTTAAATTTCTCAAAGGACAAAAATATTATCTTCTGTTTGCTTTGTTTTCCCTTAAAACCTTATTTTATATGTGCTGATCATAATCTTAACTGTATGTTTTCCTTTCTTCCTCTTCTTCTTCTTTAGTTAATGACAGGGCTACAGGTCTTTAAATATGATTGGGTGTGCAGACTAACAGGCTCATATTTCTTCTTTTACACACTGTTTAGTCAGCTTCTCAAATTAAAAAATAAGTATAGTAAAGCCTGACCCCTTCTGCAGCATGGCGTTCCAGAACATCTGTTCAGAAGGGTAAACCCAGTTCTTGTCTGTGCCATGACGTGGAATGGTGGATTCCTCTCTGGAGACTGACAGGCTGAAAGGCTGGCCTGGTGATGGCATTTGGTTAGGAGGAGGCATCTGTACACACAAGGCAGAACAAAAAAAAAAAAAAATCAATGCCACAGACCACATTTGAATCTTTAGATGCAGTATCTTGTTTTCAATAAGAAACTTTGAAAATAAACTGTAAAAAAAAAAATGTATATATTCAAATATACAGTAATAGTGATTTTTAATAAATTAAGTTTTTAGTGGAAAAACACGAGACAGGGTATTATTCAGAGCAAAGTTATGTTAATGACTGGAACTGACCTTTCAGGATGAGAAGCCATTAACGTTAAATGTGCTTTGACGTTTTAAAAAAAAAGCCATACAATCACGTTGAACTGCAATCCAGTCAAAATGCTGCTTTATTTGAAAAAACATTACTGTCAACATCACCCACTTATTTATTTCTGCTTGACTTTGGCCCTCTCACTCCCTTTCCACCATTAAACTGGTGTAGGTACCATATTTGCTGGGTCGATGTTGCTCTTCATGTCCGCAGCAGCTCTCATGGGACACTCCACAAACTCATAGGCCCGATCCTGGTGGGCTGGACCTGCTTCTGCTTTGTGCATCGGACACTCTGATGGAGGCGACGCTACAGGAGACAAGAACACAACTGAGGAAAAGTAGGCACGGTACTATCATATAGCTTCCAATAATTTCAACAATACAAAGATCAAAACCTACAAAAATGCTAAATGTGCAGTCACAAAAAAGCCTGCTAAACATGTGTAACAATCAGGAGGCAACAGTAGCACGAGTCGCTGTAACAGACCACCTCCAGCAGAAACAAGCTTTATGTCACTGCTGTTCAGGCCAACAAATAATAACTGGATATTAACCGATAACCTATCTGTCAGTGTTTCCAGGGACTGCACTGGCTGAACTGGTACTTAATAATTCATTGTTTACAGGAATGTCACAAATAATTTAATAGTCCTGCATAGCACTGATACCTTTTCCAGGCTGAGACTGATGCATGGGACATTCTGAAGGTGGAGCCACTAAGAAAATCAAAAAGACAAAAAACACAACATGTTAACATTTCTTTTTTTTTTAAACTGTATACTATTATAACAGTTAACAGCCTTGTCGCTCCCTCGGCACTACCTTTGACAGGCTGGGCTTCTGGAGCAGCAGGTGTGGACACGGACGACCCCATCCTGCCATGCCGGTCATAATGATGGAAAATGAGGGAAAGGTCAATACACTTCATATGTAATAAGTGTTATATGTGATGAATAGCCGCTATCACTGAATGAACAATAAGGAAATGCATTATATAAAATAATCACTAATATTATATTATATTTATACTAATAATGCTAATACATTAATAATAGCACCGTTCAAAAGCAGAGGAAATGTTTTCCATAAGGCAAAAGGATCAAACGCTGTACTCTAAGTAAAACCAGTAAAATACTCAGTCATTTTAGCTAAGTTTATGTTTATTCTTCGTTAAATTGACTCTGATTAACCTCGTGGTTGGCGTCAAAGCTTCAATACAACTAATCTATTGAAGTGAACTGAAACGACACCTGGCTAACTTAGCAACGCCAGCTATTTTCAGACCTCCGGGTTCCCCACCATGTCCGATTTATTCTGCGATTCACATAACGTTGGAATAAAAAGAATAAAGTGAAGCGGAATGGTAAATCAGTCAAGCGGCTAGCTGCTAGCGCTAGCCCCTTTCTAGCACGTTTTGCTTTTATTCCTAACGTCCTTTCAATGAGTCGCGTTACATGGCACGCTGGGTGCCTCTTTTAATGTCCAGTCAAACGAGAAGCGATAGAAAGCAAACAAACCAGAGATAAAACTAACCCGTGAGAGAGGTCAGCACAGACCGGGCTCTTCTGTTAGGTTACTATCCCAATGTCAACGTGCAGGACAGCTGATATGTTACGCTTAGGCTTTCATCACAAGACTCGGGAGTAGCTTCTTCTTCCTCTTAGAGTATAATGGCGGTTGGTAAACAATGAAATGGTTCATTACCGCCACCAACTGGATAAGAGCGTGGATCAAGAATTTGACTTCTCTTTCCTAAATCAAATAATTAAATGAAGGTAAGTATTTTTTTCTAACACTTAATAGGATAACTTAAATTCTCTCTATCAATTTCATTTTTCTTAAATACTGAAACAAATACAAAAAATGCAAAAAAAACTTATTTGTAAAATATCATACAGATCAAACACCACCTTTATATATCTAACATTCTGAATCATTTCCCTCCTTTCATTGTCATATATTGTGCAGTATAACATACCATGCTCACTTGTTTCTTTCTCCCTACAGAAGTCGCATCTTCTAATAATAAGTTTATCCTTTTTAAATAGTGTATAATTTAGTCCTCTATGCCCAAACTGTAACCTGGATATTATCGTCTCTTATCTGCTGATATTATTGCCTGCTTCTTGCTGCACCCACTTTCCTTTGGATCTTATATAACCACTTCCCTCAATTCAATCTGGAAAGCTGATAGAGTTTTTCTAATTACTCCTGATCGTAGTCTTAAAGCCTGATATTAAATAAGATTCAGTTTTTTAAAAGATGTATTCATTGCTAATCCAACTGAAATCTGAATCTACTGACTTCCTCTGTAGGAAATGTCCACAAGGAAAAAAATTAAATAAACTAAAAAGAAAGAAAGAAACATCCAAAAGCTGTCATCCAGTTCCTCTGAGGTCTCTGAGCCTCTGTTCACAGAAACTGGTTTGAAACTGTATTAAATGACAAAAGAAATCATTACTAAGTGTAAATTCTGACTAAATTGTTGTAAATGTTTCTATTATGTAAGATAGCCTCTCTCCTTATACATGGGTTATCTTCCTATATTGATGTATTTATATAAGCTCTAGGTTGCTAATATTTGTATGCTGCCTGCCATACGCATCCGTTAAGGACACAAGTTTCTCCTGGTAAGCAGTGTAAACCTATTACATTTGGCGTGGTGACTTGAACGCTTTGAGCCTTATAGCACTACTCAGGAGTCTTGGGATCTAACATTTGACGAATGTTATTCAGGAGTTGCACACTGTGGGTGACATGTGCCTTACGTTAGACTTCTGGTGCGAACTGTTACTGGCAATTTTACCCAGTGGACGCTCGCAGTAAGCTATTACAGCGAGAGATCCCCGTGCAGCTCAAAAAACTAAAGTTGTTACAACATCTGACAGGTTACCATAAGCCTATGGCTGGTGAAAGGTCAGGCCACCTTATCCGGTTCCGGCATCTGAAAGACACCCATGCATCCTGTGCAACATCTGTGCCAGATCTGTGCCAGTTGGCCTCATCCTAGATGGACCGGGCATGTAGTCATCTGCAGGCTCAGCAATAGTGGCTGCATGTGCAACTGGACTATTTTCAGTGTTATCCTCAGTACTGTCAGTGTCGTTGTCGCTGTCCTCCCGCCACCACATTCCGTTTTATTAAATTATATAACTTTACATGTCTCAGAAATTCAGCTGCATTTTAAATTCCAGGGATATATTCAGAATTTCTCATGAACAACATAAAATGGGTGGGTTTTCATATAATTAGCTTTGTGAAGTGTTGAAAAGTAAGTATACCTACCTGCATAATCCCAGGTCACTTCCTGTTTGGGACTTTTATTGTGAAGCTATCTCCTGCCTCTTGCACCATCACCTGCTCCAGCTTTACTTTGTCCATTAATTAATTAATTAATTTCACTTGCAACTGGTTGTCTTCCTGGTCCATCCTTTATTTTCACCTCACCTCCCTCAGTTCTTGGCTGGTTTATCTGTTCTCTCATTCTCTTGCTGTGTATTTACCCTTGTTACCATCACTGCTTGGCTTTGTCCTTGTCTGTTTCCTTGCCTATTATCATCTCACAGAGACTTTTTAGATTGTGTTTCTGTCTCCCTATATGTTGTTCCCTTATCTGGCCTCAGGCCTGTTTGCCTGGTTTTGGGGCTCTTTTATGGTCACCTGTTTCCCATGACTTGATTAGTGGTTTGTGTAGTGCTCTTTAACTGTGTTCCCATGCCTTAGTTTCTCTGTTTAGTTTTTAATCATTTCCCTATTGGTCTTAGTTGTGCTGTTTGTTATATTTACAGTTGTACTTTATGTGCTAGATTTGTTTCCGTGCATTTGTGATGGTGACTAAGTCATTCAAGCTCTAGCTTGTACTGTTAACTCTATCTATTGTGTCTTCATGTATCAGGGTTAGTATTTGCATTATTCCCTTTCTAGCTCCAGTGTTTGTTTAACTATAAACTTTGTTAAACAAGAAAGTCTTAAGTCTAATCTTAAAGGTAGAGAGGGTGTCTGCCTCCCAGACTGATACTGGAAGATACGATGGAGCCTTGTCATTAAGGGCTTTGTATGTTAGGAGAAGCTAATTTGGGAGAGATATGATTTCTCTGGCTAGTTCTTGTCAGTACTCTAGCTGCAGCATTTTGGATTAACTGGAGGATTTTTAGGGACTTACTGAGACACCCTGATAGTAAAGAGTTATAGTAGTCCAGCCTGGAAGTACCAAATGCATGGACCACTTTTTCAGCATCACTTTCAGACAAGATGTGCCTGATTTTTGCATTATAGTGCTGACAAAAAAGGCAGTTCTAGAGACTTAGTTTATATGTGGTTTAAAGGACATATCTGGGTCAAAAATGCCTCCAAGGTTCCTCACAGTAGTACTGGAGGCAAGAGCTATGTCATCTAGGGTAACTATTTGGGTGGATAGCACATTTCATGCCCAGTAACTTCAGTTTTGTCAGAATTTAGAAGTAAGAAGTTATAGGTCATCCAGGCCTTTATGTCTTCAAGATATCTGGATAATAATAAGGTCTAGATCTTACTATGTGGAGTGCCCTGAGAAGATTTCTGTTGTTATTTGGCAGTATGCAAATAAAACTGCTTTGAAATGTTTTTAGTTATTAGTTACTTTTTGGGTTAATACAGCAATATGATCGCATAACTTCATTGATCACTGGTGGGAAATTTACAAGATACCTACCAATAATTCAAATTGTAAGCATTAGATGGATAAAATTAGACATTACTTTCAAAACTGAATTATAATCTAAGTAATTTGCTAGTTCTGAAAAGCTTTTTAGATGTTTGGTTTGGTGGTTTTGCAAATATTTCACCTCTGTTTCACCCCTGTTCATAATGAGAGGGAGGATCACAGTCTGTGTTGCACTGGCATGACGTTGGACAGCAAGCTCCATTTTGTTACATTATGACTTTGACTCAGTTGTTGCTACTCATAGATTACAACAGGAACAGAGGTAAGGCATACTTCTTTGTCATCCTTTTTTAATAATATAGTGCAAAGCTCCATCCAACATCATTTTGGAGACTGAACAAGAAGAATAGAAATTCTCTGCTCTTAACTGGAAAGGAACAGTGAACACATAAATAAATCACAATGCACGCAATATGGTAGGAAGTCAGATTCACAAATCGTTTGCAAGTTTCAAGCACTCAGTTCTATAGTTTCATATTTTTAACATATTAAAGGGTTGCTGGTAAATGTTGCAGTTGCCAGGGTGTTCACATGTTGTTCTCTGTCTTAGCTTCTGACTAGAAGGCCTACTCAGCTGCCACACTTTATTTTTCAATCAACATATAGCATGTAGTGTGATGACTTTAACGCTGTGGTGGTTTTTACACTGTGACATATGGTCTCTTTGTTTTATGGCATCTGTAATGAGTTTATCTGATTCCTTGGAGTGGAGAAACATTAAACTGTGTTACACAAACACAATTTAACATGTAAACACTGGAGGGCAGCAAAACATTACCTTTTATGACTGTGCATGCATGCAGACAGGTATGTGGAGTTGCACGAAGGTGATAGGCCCTCCAGCTAAAAACCATCTTAGCGCAGGAACCCAGAACTCATCTCCCCCCTCCCCAAGCAGCCGTGCTCTTCTCAATTCTTTTCTTTAGTCTAGTCTGGCTATGCAGAAAATAGCTAATGAAATCCTTAGACTTAATAGGTACGAGCTGCCACTTTTGTTAAACATGTTTTCTCTTGTGTATAGTTAGAGAGGTAAGTTAATGTAATTCAGTTTCTCTGGTTTTGTTCTTCTTATGTTCGCCTTAACTAGATTGCTCTTTTGTTGTTGTTTTGGCCTTACCTGATCAGAAATTAAAAATAGCTCAATTGTTCTTTTTATTTTTACATCAAATTGTAAATAGATAAAAATTATTGTGACTAGAAATTTAAACTCCTAAGCTCCCTCTCCCTCTTCCTAAGTCCTAAGCTCCACAGTGCTTAGGACTTAAGAAATGGGGATTTTTTTTTCAGTTTTCTTGACCATCCTAATATGGGACATAACAGAAAGGCTGAAGAAATATCTTAATTTTCTCTGAAATAAAAGTCATCTGTCTAGTTCTAGGTGTAACATCTGACCCTGATTTTCATAGTTTCTTGCAGATCTCCAGCACATATACAGCACACATACACTCCAGACATTGGGTCTCATTCACCAATAATATGCTTTTTCTTAACCTTGTTTTTGTCATGATTCTGTCCCATCGGCTTCTGGTCCCAGGCTTTTATTTTGAGATTACTTCCTGTTTGGTTCACCTCAGTTTTGGACTCTTTACATTAATCAGCTGGTATTATTTTGACCTGCATCTCATCACCCAGATTGGCAACACCTGCTACACAAGCATAAAGGCAACTTCCCCGCACCAAGAAGTTGCCAGATTGTTCTAGACCCCAGCTCTGACTTTCCAGCATTCTTTCTCTGCCTGGTTATCTTGTTCTGACCCCGGATTGCCTGTTGACCACCATTTGCCTTATTCCCCCCCAGATTCTGATTGCCTGCTGTGTACCGACCCTCTGATATCTCCTCCCTGACCTCTCTCTTGTGGATCTCCTGGCTGTAGATGTTTACTGGCGCTGACCTTTGACTGTATTATCGACCTGATTTTGATTCTAGACTTTGTACTGTTGTTTTGAGTGTTGCTAGTAAAAGACTATTCTCTACCTCAG